TGCAGGGGGGATGGGTTCTATCCCTGGTTGGGGAACTAAGATCCTGCATGCCAAATAGTAGGGTCAAAAAATACAAACAGGCAAACAAAAAAACCAAAAAAACAAATATATATAGATAACAAATATACATATTATATAATATATATAAATTATATATCATATGGAGATGTATGTCTTTTGGGATATATAATATACATTAATTAAATTAATTTATATATTATATAATTTAAGTATTATACATATTATATATATAAAATGTCACCATATATATTATACATATATAATATGTATAACATCATCACCTATATATTATATATGGTAATGTTATAATAATATTGTATATAATATACAATAATATAATAACATATAATACATATAATATTATATATAATATGTAATATTATATGTAAGGTCATGTTAGAGTTTATAATTTGAAGTCAGTGCAGCTGCTATAAGACTCTGATTTGCCTGGCACCCTCTTCCTACAGCTCTGGGTCTGAGATTGTTGTGAATACAAACCCTGTGTACCTTCTGGCCTGCCTTCTTTTTTTTGCGGCTGCCACCTGCCTCCCAAGCCAGGCTGCTGCCACCTTTGCCAGAGCCTCTGCTAAGCTTCCTCAGGTGGCCGCTGTTCAGGCGGAAGCCCCGAATCTGCACTTTTCTCCCTGACTGAGCTCTAGCCAGGCTGCGTCGTCCTTCTGCCCCCAGAATGGATGAAATGTCACTCTGTGCGGCGTGGGTCTGATTTTCTGAGCAGTCAGGGGCTGGATGATACAACTCAGAGTTCAGGAGGGTCTACTCCCTGTGAGTTGGAACCTGACTGATGAGATGCGGGAAATAGTAGGGAACAGGGCAATTTCCCTCTCCTTTATACCCTGTGGAGTGCTCTAAGATTCGATTTCCTCCCGAAGGTCTCCTGGAGACTTCCAGGTGCCTAGCCAACACCCCTGCCCAGAGGCTGCAGTCTCTTTATAGGTCATTGTGAAACAGTGGCCAGCATAGCAGCACATCACATCACTTTGTTTCTCGTATTTTCTTGCCTTTTTCTCCCTATTTCCTCACCTTCACCATTCTGGGCTTGGGCGTGCCAAATTGTATTGCAACTTGAAGGCACCCAAATAGTGTCTCAGGCTCTATCTTTTTGTAGAAAAGATTTCCTAAAAGAGAGCTATAGCAACAGTTCTTACTTTAGCGGAGAGCTGGTGTTTTCCCCTGGGCCCTAGGAGTCACTCTCCACTTTTCTCCACCTTGCTCTCTCCCCTGGGAGGTTGCTGAACTGTATCTACAGGACACCCACACCCTCTGGCTACCAGATAGGTCCAGCCAATAGGATGCCCTGGTAGGAGATTGGAGGGAGAAAGTATTTATTTTCCTGGTGCCTATGAGGTCACCTTGGCTGACTGTGTCCCTCAAGATGAAAGTCAGAGCTGGAGTTCTTCTCTATCTGACCTTCTTTTTGATTTCTGAGACCTGCTTCCTCCTCTCCTTTGGACCTAAGGAACCTAAGAGCTCCACACTGCTACCCCCAGGGTAGGGAGCTGCCTTGTGGCTCATGTCCACCCTGCCCACTCCTCTGTAATTTATCTCTTTATAAATAAATTATTCTAATTTGAATTATTCCAATTGGACAGTGCCATCTGCTTCCTGTTGGGATGAGTAATGAGAAGGAATGGTTAAATGATATTGTTGTTTATCTGTGTTGGAATTGTGTGTGACCATTACAAATCACTTAATGTTCTCTAGCAAAAGAAAGTAATGCAGTATTTTTTTTTTTTTCCTAATCACTTAAGAAGTCAAGCAATCAGGGTTCTAGCAAAAACAAACAAACAAGACCAGTCAGAATTCCATCTCCTGTGTGGATGAAAATAATCAAAAAGTAATCTATAATAGGAATAGAAATGATTTAAAAGAATATAAAAAGAGTTTTATTTGAGCCAAACTGAGGACTATCACCTGGAAGACAGCCTCTCAGCTCTGAGAAACTGCTCCAGAGACACATGATTGTCAACATAGTTTTATATCTTGTCAGAACCAAGAACATTAAATAAGTCAGGCATATACTTCTAGTGGCTCAGATAGTAAAGAATCTGCCTGTAATACAGGAGACTCAGTTTCAATCCCTGGGTTGGGAAGATCCCCTGGAAAAGGGCATGGCAACCCACTCCAATATTTTTGCCTGGAGAATTCAATGGACAGAGGAGCCTGGCAGGCTACGGGCCATAGGTTTGTGGAGAGTCAGACACGACTGAAGCAACTTAGCATTGCTGCACGCATACTCCTTCAAGGTTTCAGAAAAACAGGTCAGCATTCACACAGCGAGTCAGCATGGCCTTTGCACCGAGGAAGGGAGTCTTATGGAAGGAGGACCAGCATTGGTGTCCCAGGAAGGGAATCATTTGCTCTTTATTTTTAACATAGACATTCCTTACTTCTGGTCAGTGTGCCCTTTTCTTTAATAATTAAAGCAGGTGTAAAACAGGCTGTTTTAGTTAGCAGTTAAAATTCAAGTCAACTCATGTATTAGCTAGAATGACTTCCTCATACCTCAATATGTGAAATTTTCTTTTATTACCTGAAAGCGTCTTTAATGAAAGAATCATTTATGGGAGAGCAGGCAGAGTAAAGGGAATCAATAGGAAATTGTGAAGTACCAGGAACAAGAAATGGCAGAAGACATCACCACCCCAAGTGTTGAAGGGGCATAAGGAAGAAACATCGTTGGAATACTGGTGCCTGATACGAGTCCACGTCTTGGAAAAGAAGCTGTCCCTGCAGACCTCCAGTCCTGCGGAATGCAGGTCCTGCCAGAGCCTCATCTGCAGCAGGCTGGCAGTAGAAAATGAAATGCCCTCCTCTTCCGCCCCTCCTGCCCACCGGCTTCCTCTCTCCAGCTGCTGGTCTGCAGCCAGTGCCTCCTATTGGCTGAGCCCAGCTGGAAACTAGAATGAATGGCGCATCAGGGTGGGCCTGCTTGGGCTCAGAGTGGGGCTGAGTGGGGCAGATGATGGTCTGGGTTGCTGGGAGTTAGGGAGGGCCACAGAAATTAACCAATACGATCAGGATATCAAACCCTTTGCAAATATAATCCTAATTTTGAGAAAAGTGATACATGTATTTATGTATAAGAGAATTCTGAACTATAAATTTAAAGTAGCTATCTTATGGTAGTAGAAGAATAATAAATGGTTTTTATTTTTTATAGTGCTTGGTATATCTCCCAAATTTAAAAAAAAATGTATTACTTTAAACTTTATCTTAGAAAAAATAAATGCTAATGAATGATGTGTTTAATTTTAACTTTTATAGGAAACATTTCCTATCAGTGGCTCCTCATGCTAAGAACTTCACTTTCTGGAATTTCTCAGAAGATCTCACCTAGAGTAAGATCAAGGCCAATGAGAGGATGTTTGTGTTTGTTTCTCAAAGCACTAGCTTGTTTTCACACTATCCTGCCCAGTAACAAAAAAGCATAATCTGACGTGGGACAAAGGGCATCCCAGCCCTAGTCATATTAGTAGATATGATCCATTAATTACTATTAACTTTGTTATGTAGCAGAGTTGGTCTATGACATTCAGTTTGTCTAAGAACCGAATCTGTGATCCTAGAGTTGAATGTACAATCACCAACTTCACATAAACACCTAGCTTCAAAATGCTTTCAAGTTAGTTAGACTATAAACTAACATCTCTGTTTTCAAAACAACTTGTATGCTTCTGATTTATTTTTCTACTGTTTCATGTCTCTCGTGTCTGCATGTAAACCACAAATAAAGCACCATAGAGGAACTCAGGGGTATTATCAGCAGTCAGCAGCTACCCTGCTGTTTTCCATACCCAGATTCCTCTTCTATTCATAGCATTGTCCTCAGCCTCACATGGGGTCTAGGGTAAAGGCAGCTTTCCCCCAAAGAAATACTTCACATGTAGAGAATGAGATAGCAAATCCTTGGAATGTCACAGACCAGCTGTTGAAGGCAATTGTTCCTAACCACCAATGTCTCAGCCGCTCCTGTGGGCCAAGGCAGCAGTTGGGGGAGATAGAAGCAGCCAATGTTCTGTATAAACTCAGACACCCATGTAAGCTCGGGGCTCAGAACTTTCATTGCCTGCCAAGCTATTTAAAGCTAAGGATTATGCAGTGAGAACAGATGCAGTACATTTTGCCATCTTCTGAAATCTAACATTTTAAGTAACATTTAAAGAGCATAGTTTAAATTTTCTTGAATTCAGTCATTGTACTTTTCAAAGTGGTTTCCTAAACTTCATATTAATTTAAGTAGGACTTAATACATCTTAAAATTTCATAAATATCCACAAAACATACACTGTGCTTTGAAAAACGCTGCAGCTAAGATTCAGCTTAGCTTTTTTTTTGTTGTTTTAATGAGGTACATATTCGGGACTTTTAAAAATCAGATTTATATCTGAAAATTCCAGTGTAAGTTTAAAACAGTAACAAATGTAGTGACTCATAAATATATTTCAGATCCAATTTTCCAGTACTATTTTTTAACCTTCAAATTCTATATTTACAAAGCTATGCTGTAATAAAATACACTGAAAAGAAAAGCTTATTAAGCAAAGGAGATCACAGCTCTTTTTAGCAATATAAAACACTTTCATAAAGTGGATAAGAATTTCTTAAATTGGTGTGGCTCTTTTGCCATCAACTGTTACAAATGCAAGCTTCCCTGGCATTGTTGAAGTAAGGAAGAAATAATTCTGAGTCGTTTCTACTACCAGACTACAGTCTTCTAAACTGTCAATGTTTCAGGTGTTAAGAATAGCATTAACTTGAGCTGTAGGAACATATTTAACAACTTTCCTTTCGGAATAAAAATAACAAAGACAACTTCAACATACCAGGAACTATGTCTGTATTTTTAATCTTCATAAAAAATCATTTCAAACGTGGGTAATACACACATTCCCGTGATACCATGGTCTAAACTAGAATCTTCCTCTCGACGTATGAACAGACACTAACCCGACACGATGTCACTTGGTCCCAGCTGAATCCTTTACTTCCACCACCAGAATTCCATCATGACAGAGGATCGCCGACAAATCTTTGGTTTCAATGCCGTCGGGCAGTTTATACTGTCGGGTGAAGCTTCTGGAGATAAAACCGTGCTCATCCATTCTGGTTCCATGTTGAGCTTTTATCAGCAGCCAGCCCTCGAAGGTCTGAATGATGATATCTTCGGGGAGGAATTGGACCACGTCCAGCAGGACCTGGAAGCGGGATTCGCCTCTCTGGGGCGGCATCTCAGCGGCGTCCACTGGAGGAGCCTGGGCCGCCCTGGCCTTCCCCAGGTCCACCGTGGTTGGCCCGGGCAGTGCATATAAAGCGTGATCCAGCCTGCAGTCTTCCAGACCTCGAGCTTCGAACTCCTGCTCGTATCGCACTGGAGTCTCGATGAGGTGCCTCAGTATGATTTTTGCCATAGTGGAGGCAAAGCCGGCACAGCAGCGTCCTCCCGGTCCGATGTCCGTGTGGAGCTTCGCCGCTGCCGTCCGACTAGATTATCAGGGGAGAGCTGCTCTTCACTTATAACCCGGCGCAGACGCAACCCTTTAATTAGACCTGAATCACAGTGCCGCACGCTCGCTCTTGTCTTTTTGCTCCTGCTGACAATAAACGGCTATTTATAGGGTGTGTTTCGAGGTTGCTTTTAGCACACAGCCTGCTCGAGCTGCCGAGTCAAGGATTGCCCTTACATTCTCAGTTATCCTTGGCAAGTGTATCGGCCTCGCTTACCCAGAGAGAAAAAGAGTCAGAAACAGTATTTGAGAAATATCTGAGTGCTCTGTCTTTGTGAACTACAGTGACCTGAGGGATCAGAACAACCTAGAGATGAGTACTTATCTTGTATGAACTAAGTCTGCACTAATCCTAGTCTCCAGGCGCAAAGTCAGGGGGAGGTGACTTGAGCTTTAAATTGATTAGGAATCAATTACACACACACAGGCACATTAAAATCTCAAACATTCAACAAGCCCTCAGCCCTCTGTCCTATACATTTACTTTCATTTCATCCTTTAATCTTCTATCCTTAAGTGACATCTGAGCCAGGCCATCTGGGTTTATTAAATTTGACTCATGAAAAATGAGATCAAATGACTGAGCCAGACAATGATGTCCAACCTCAGATGGGGTCGGAAAGGCATAGAACAGAGAATCTTAGCAAGGAAAATAGAGCTCCAGGGCAGAGAAAAAGTTAAAGCTTTTTAACTATTTGATACTAAAGTCCAGAAAACTAAGGATTAATCTAGTTGCAGCTCTGCTGTTGAAATGGCAAAAATAAATAACATACTTCTTAACTGTAACCCCCTTAACATTAAACATATTGAAAAGGAATGAGGTAACTATCCACTGCTATGGCAAGAGCTCCAAGACATGTTAAGTACAAAAGGAAAGTCCAGAACAGCATATAATGTGCTGTATTTGTCTTTTTTTTTAAGTAGGCATTTGCTTGTGAAATAAAATCTGAAAGTTATGTCATGGGGAACAGGAATTGCCTCCTGGGATGGTAGCAGAGTGATCAGAAGGCAGGGGCTAAAGGGAGACTTGCTTATCACTATAAACACATTTGTGCTTGTAACTTCTATAGTGTGTTTGTAATGAACATACACACAAGAGTGTTTAAAATATAGAAAACTTCCTCTCCATGGAGGTTAGTATTCTCTAGAATAGGTAGACTCCAGAATACCTTTCCCTAAAACACATGTCCATTTTCTTAGAATTTAAAATAAATCTAACTAGCTTTTAGTTTTAGTTTTTTATGGTAAAGAATCTGCCTGCAATGCCAGAGACCCAGGTTCAATCCCTGGGTTGGGAGAATCCTCTGGAGAAGGGAATGGCAACCTACTCTAGTATTCTTGCCTGGAGAATCCTATGGACAGGGGAGCCTGGTGGGCTATAGTTCGTGGGATCACAAAAAGTCAGACATGACTGAGTGACTAACACTTTTACTTTCACTTAGGGAAGTCTTAAAAATTAAAAAACAAAATTTTTAATTTTTTTAAAAATTAAAAATTAGAAAACAGAAGGGAACAATTTCCTTTAGCTCTTTTATAATACCCTAAAACTCTGAGTGGATATTTTGGTATATAGTTTAAAATATGCCTTAATTATGTTTTTCACACACAGCTTTTTTGACTTGCATTTTACAGGTTGATGGCCCTCAATGGAAAAATGTACTCTTTGAAATATTAATGTCTACTGGCTCACAAAATATTGAGAGATGTTTTCATTGATGCTGCTCTGAGTGGTAAGTCAAAAACAGAACTCACTACCAGTGGCAGGAAATGTATAAGGTACCAAGGATTTGGCTTTAAAATCCTGGAAAGAGTCATAGAAAAATTGAGAAGAAAGTATATAGATTTTCTATATATCCCCTGCCCCCGCACATACATAGCATCCCCCATTGTCAACATCCCCACCAGAGGGTACATTTGTTACAATCAGTGAACCTACATTAATACATAATTTACATTAGTGTTTACATCACTCTTTGCGTTGCACATTCTATGAATTTGCCCAGAGGTTGAAGGAAAGTTATGACCAACCTAGATAGCATATTAAAAAGCAGAGACATTACTTTGCCAACAAAGGTCCATCTGACTAGATGGCTATTGTTTTTCCAGTGGTCATGTATGGATGTGAGAGTTGGACTGTGAAGAAAGCTGAGCACCGAAGAACTGATGCTTTTGAACTGTGGTGTTGGAGAAGACTCTTGAGAGTCCCTTGGACTGCAAGGAGATCCAACCAGTCCATCCTGAAGGAGATCAGTCCTGGGTGTTCATTGGAAGGACTGATGCTGAGGCTGAAACTCCAGTACTTTGGCCACCTCATGCAAAGAGTTGACTCATTGGAAAAGACCCTGATGCTGGGAGGGATTGAGGGCAGGAGGAGAAGGGGACAACAGAGGATGAGATGGCTGGATGGCATCACCGTCTTGATGGACATGAGTTTGAGTAAACTCCAGGAGTTGGTGATGGACAGGGAGGCCTGGCGTGCTGCGATTCATGGGGTCACGAATAGTTAGACACGACTGAGCGACTGAACTGAACTGATAATCACGTGTATCCACCAAAATAGTATTATACAGAATTGTTTCACTGCCCTAAAAATCCTTTGTGCTCCATCTGTTCACCTCGCCTCCACCCAAGCTTTGCTCTGAAAAACTGCTGTAAAAAATAAGCCTGTTTATTTGCTGTGCTGGGTCTTCATTGCCGCACCCCAGCTTTCTCTAGCTGTGGTGAGTGAGGGCTGCTCTTCATTGCAGTTCTAGGGCTTCTCTCAGAGGTGGCTTCTCTTTTGTGGAGCATGGGCAGGCTCAGTAGTTGTGGCACATGGGCTCATTGCCCCATGGCATGTGTAATCTTCCTGGCCCGGGATCAAACCCATGTCCCCTGCATTGGCAGGTGGATTCCCAACCACAGGACCACCCGAGAAGTCCAAAAAAAAAAAAAAGGAATGTCCATTTAAAAAACTAAAATTTCTCTAAAAAATAAATCCCTTTTAGAAAGGTGCTGGTAGAGTGGACAGAGAAAAATATATCCAATTAGTCTTATGGTTTCTTGCCTTTAAGGATCTCAAAAATAGGTGAGGAGGACTAGATATGAGTGATGTTTCCATGTTGCTTGTATGATTGAGTTGCTGAGGTTTAAAGGGAATATTAACATTTCTCGCGCAAACACCCAAGACTTCTACTTCTGCTATTTCCCCCAAACGGCCGTTTGACCCTAATCCTGCGCCTTCTATCCTCCTCTAGGCTTCTGTTCAACCACTTACCTCTTTCTTGATGTTCTCTAGTCTCTCACTGTCCACAGGCTCCTCTCCATCAGTGTAAAGTCAGTTGTACCCCACCTTTTTAAACCAAAATAAGACCTACTAGCCCTTATGTCACCCCCTAGCTAATTATTCCCCTCGCAGCCCAGCTCCTTGAATTTTTAGCCTGTGTTCAATGATCACTCTTTGTGCTACTGCAAAATAACTCTGCCCTGGATTGATATCAAAATCAGCCTTGTTGCCAAATCTATACTTTAACCTTATCTTCCTTAACCTCTTGAGCATTTGACATAAGCCTCTCATCAGGAAAGAATGTGAACTATTTTTGTCCTAGCCCTGTCAAGAGGACAAATAGAGTTTTCTCTTATCCTGTTCCATGCATTCTCAGTGGAGGTGATATCACCCTCAAGGGGGCAAAAATTGGTTCTTATGGAGCAAATCAATCCAACAAAAAATCCATGTTATCTAAAGATTATACCAAATCTTAGCTCTAAGGAATGGATTATGGTCTTCCAAAAGGCCCAGGTACATAAACAGACATAATGAATATCTGTGGAATTAAAATTTCATGGGGGAGAGGGAGGAGAAATCAGGTGGACAATGTTTTAAAGACTCCTGGGTGTGGAAGGCTGGAGCAATAATAAAGAAAAAATTGAGGATACAGTCCTAGTCGTCTTCATGCTCATCCAGAACCCAATGGCATCAGGGGCTCTTTGGGGGAATTTCAGTACCAACAGGCTTAGGGTCTGAGAAGTTTCCCTAGAAAGAGTAATCTCATGGCCTGAACAAGAAGATGATAGAGTGGGATAAAAGGAGCTTTGGGAATTCAAGTGTTCCTGGCAACAGAATGACATGTTCCAGGGCCTGGAACCAGAAGAAAATCCTGTGATTGGAGATCAAAGGACACAGTGTGACCACAATGCAGGCCACAGAGTAGGAAGTGGGAGAGATGAGGCTGGAGAGGTGGGGAGCAGGGACCAGATCAGAAGAGACTTGTATGTCATTTTTGTTTTCAAGTATCTACCAGTTGCTCTAAGGGTGATTACCAGAATTCTTGTTTTAGAGTAAACACTAATCTTTTTCTTCATAGTCAAAAGGCCCACTGAGGATTTTTTTTCCAAATTAAGGTTTAGATTCTATTCTGAAATATAGGAGTTAACTTCACAAAGACCCAAATCAGTGCCTTTTTCACTTTTCTGATTATACCCACAATAAGAAACATATCACCAGTGAACACACATATACACATGTGTGTGCATGCTCAGTCATGTCCAACTCTTTGTGACCTCCTGGACTGTAGCTCGCCAGGCTCCTCTGTCCTTGGGATTCTCCAGGCAAGAACACTTGAGTGGGTTGCCATTTCCTCCTCCAGGGGATATCTTGCTGACCCAGGGATCAAACCCACATCTTCTGAAGCTCCTGCATTAGCAGGCAGATTCTTTACCACTGAGCTACCTGGGAAGCCCACATATACCCATAGTGGGTACAAAACATTTAGCTTTACTACATATAATGCACTCTGATGGTCTCTGTTTGATTCCATTTAGCTTAACAGTGAGCCTTCTGTTCAGTTCAGTTCAGTTCAGTTGCTCAGTCGTGTCTGACTCTTTGCTACCCCATGAACCGCAGCACGCCAGGCCTCCCTGTCCAT